TGTAAAAATACGAAAAACATCATAGAATGCCCGGTTTGTCGAGTCGAATCGTTCATTCCCTTTGCTGGTGTGTCTGCATTTCCAAAGAATCATCTGTTGGCAAGGCTGATCGAAAAGAATCCTTCCAATAAGGCCAAAACCAATGAGTTTATTAAGGAAACTCTAAAGAGAAGCAAAGAGAACCTGGAAGGTTTGAAGAGCGCAATTAACGAGATGGATACCCGACGCAGTTCTATAATGAAGCAGGCTGAGAGTCTAAGGCATGAAATCAACTCGGCGGCAGAGCAAGTCGTAAAATTGGTTCGCGATCAAGAACATCAACTGCTCCTCGAGGTCGATCAATATATGAACAGTAATTACACCGAAGCAACCTTCAGTAAACAAAAAGAAAAGCTGGAAAGCTTACTTCAAAAAACCGTGAACTCCATTGAGAGCATTGATAGGAAAAAAGAACCAGATAAACGCTCGTTAAAACAGTCGCAACATTTAGAAGAGCTAGCAAAAGTGGCTGGCATTCAAATTCTCTCTGCAAGACGCAAGTGCTTTCGCAATTTCGATTTGACTTTTGTAAAAAGCGATTTCTCCCACGTCACTGTGGAAAAACTGATTGGTGCTCTTAGCGTTAAGAGTGATGCCGAAGGCGACAAAAATTCACTGGCTGGTCTAAATGAAATTCTCAGCAACGAGAAAGTCATCAAACACATTGACGGATCTAAAATAAAAGTACCGAGCTTTTTCCCTTTTGCAGTCACAGTGTCACAAAAGACTGGTGATATAGCTGTTTTAGATGCCGAGAACAAACGCGTTCATATCTTCGATCGAGAGGGTAACCATCTTAGCCAATTCTTGTTCATTTTTGGAGACTTTTGGGATATTACGTATTCTTTAAGTGATGAGATAGTTGTATTAAATAGAGACAATAACTCTCTGTTACACTATGACAGGGGTGGAAATCTCAAGAAGAAATTCCCGACCGCCCCGAGGCCAAAGGTTAAATTTACGTTTCTGTCGCACGATGCATCTGGGCGTTTTCTAGTTACGTCCACACCAAGGTACCAAGAATCGGCTTCAGAAACAGATTCCTGTGTTCTCATTTACACTGCAACTGGAAAACTCGAGTCCGTGTTTGGAGGGGGCGTACTTTCGTCTCCGAAGAAAGCAGTGTTCTTCAAAGGAAAGTTTTTCGTTCCAGACGCGGATAGCAAGAGTGTGAAAGTTTTTAATAACAGTGGAGAATTTTGTCAAGAAATCGGCAGGGGCATGCTTGAAGACCTCGCTGGAATTGCCACTGATTTTGTGAACGGTCGTATTCTTGTTTGTGACTGTGAGGGGTATGCTGTACACGTTTACAGCACTTTAGGAACACTAGTTAGAACTATCAGAACAGCCGCTCCTCCAGTGGAAATCGTCTTGTGCAAAGATGGAAAGAGGCTAGTAGTTTGTTTCGACGGCGATAAGGCAAGATGCTTTCAGATTCTTTCATACACAGAGTGCACTCATTCGTCGGGCCACGAGCACAATAAACAAACCTAATAATGCGTATAAGTTGAGGACCAAAAATATGTTCGGTTTAGCTTCAGTACTATCCCGAAAGTAAGAAAAGTTTTTTTAAAAAAGGTTGTTGGGTTAAAACGTGCCAGTTGGACTTCTTTTATACAAGGTTTTATTAATTTGTTTTTTTCATTTTCCAACATTGTTTGCACTCTGAAGAAGTACTTATTTTAAGCTCATGTGATCCGTGCTTCACCTTTTCTTAATTTTTTTAACGTTAATATCTGGTATGTAGCTTGTTTGTGAGGAATAGGCTGAATAGCAGTATATTCTCTCATCTTCTTTCAGAAGAAATAGGAACCTGTTTAAGACAATTTCATGTAACAGCCTCTTTAGGCTAACTTGAAGGGAAGGAAAATTAAAGGTCTTACTCGCGGGATAGAACTTTACGGCGATTGGTAGAATAACGTCGATTTCTGAAGACGGATCATGGTGTCGCATTCAATATAATGTGTAACCGTTCACAGTTATGTTTTAAGTTTGATGCACAGTTTATGGCATCTATTTTTTATTTTTGTGCCATGTGCATCGCGAGAGCGCGCGTAATGTATCTCTTGCAGTCATTTTTTTTTTAATTCAGTTAATTTTTGTTTTTCCTTGGTTTTAAATTCATTAGCATACATCCCCATACCCAAAAACAATGGAAAAATAAAAATTAACTGAGATATAAAATTAACTACAACATATCCGAATAAATCGGCGTCACATGTAGTCTACCCAGTGTATCTTACGCGTTGTGTTTCGTCGCGTATAATTATGAAAGCCGTAACTGATGGACCAAAACGATAACACTGAGTTTATTTTAATTGAAGCCAACAGCCAATTGGAGAAATCTCATATTTAATCTTTCCCAATCAAACGGTAAAGTTATGGTCGTCTTTTCAATTTCTTTTCAAAACATTAGTTCCTGTTTTCACTGCAACATGCTAAGAGGTAAATTGGGAATCGGCTCTTAATCACTTGTACAGAACCCTATGTTATAAAATTCAATACAATGTATTATATAAATATACCCAATTATAAAAGTAAAACTAAGAATTACACAAGACGCAATTTTCACCACTACTTTAGAATGTAATGTTTCCAACGTCTTACCAATGTCTTGCTCACTGTGTCCCAAATTATAAAACAATTCTTAATTCTTAAATTGTATTTAATGTTGGTATTTGGTGGAAAAAAATAATCTAATTATATAACTCGGACAAACGCCTTACTATACTTTGGACGTTAATAATGCAATGTATCGCAGTCTTCTATTCAGCCAAGTTGCCTCAGCCCTTCACTAGAGTCTCATATGATGAATTACTATCACGATGAATGGCCCTCAGACCCCTCTCCTGTACCCTCTCGAGTTTTCCAGAATCCGAGTAGCTTAACAGACATTTCATACTATGCTACAATGTGTTAAATATGGGAGGATAGCATAGAGTTGAACTTACAGTCAAGGCAGGTCAAGCGTACCCCCCAAGGTCTATTAAGGAATTAATTATTTAAAAAATGAATTCGTTTGCAGTTCCCGCAACTTGTGTCAAATTCCAATTTGTCTTCCTGCATGTGTAATGAGTAGTGAATATGTTACAAGAACTTCTCTGTATTTGGTCAGATTGAAAATCTTTGAATTCACCATTTTCACTTAGGCCATAATACATATTGTTTACCGCCCCCCAAAAAAAAAAAAAAAATTTTGCATAAGCATTGTCTTCGATTTCCCTAAGGGTGACTGTAATACCAGGAGAACTTGCAAACAATGGTCATGCAGAATTTTGAGGGGTAAACAAGATGCATTATGGCCTATGTGAAAATATTGAATCGATAAATCTACTTCGAAGACATTTACAGAACAAAAAAAACAGAGCTTAAACGGTAGAGACAAAAGATGTACTGTGCTATCGCGTGTTTTACCAAATTTGAGAACTTGTCAAGTAGTCGAGACGATTTTGAGGCGAAATTGCCTAGCAAGGTGTCTACTGACATGAATAAAGCACTGACTCGTTCCAACCTTCTTTTTAACTGGCACGGTGGGAGCAGGAGTTAATGGGTTGCACGTCGTTAGAGAGGCTGAGAAGATTCAACGCCTTACTCTCTTTATCTTTCTCGTTAATCCAAGCTAGGTCACAGTTTACCCCCTATTCACAAAAAGTGGATTCCCGCAAGTTATCTGGGAAAGGTGCGGATCAAGTGCGGTCCTATTCACCACCAACAACACCAAACAGCAAAACTTAAGTTTAGCCTACTGGCATCAATATCCCTTGTCTCGGTCGAGACCGAGTCCGATATCCAGTCATGTTAACCAAACAAACTTGGTCAATAAAGGATTTATTAAATGACCGAAAAGAGGACTTTCTCTTGCGGAACCACAGCGGGAACTGAATCTCGAATGGGCAAGATAGTCCGGTGCCCTTTATCTTCGTCTCTACGTTTTTCTTCTCTCCATTTTCTGCAGCTTTCTTTCGCTGATTTGTCGATTACAATTCCACATCTCTCTCAGACAAATCACAAAGATTGTACTGAGTTGGCCATAAATATGGGAGTGGAAATGAATTAGCCTTGACCGTTATTAACTCAAGGTGGGCGTATTCAAAAATATAATCCCAGGTTTGAGACAATTTCCTTTGTTTATTATAAACATCACGACCACTTCCCAGACTTGGTATGTCGACATACATGGTGTGATGTAAACAGAAGAGTAGATTAAGGACATTACCAGTCTGTTAATTACTACATCTTTCCAACTTGTACTGTGTATCATATTTAGTTTGAATAAATATACTCCAAAAAGGACTTCCATTCATTCTTCACACCTTCTACTAAAGTATAGTTTGACCCCTCAAAAGCCCTAAAGCTTGTAATTGGGAAAATTAAATGTGTTTTTAAGCCATCAAATGTTTCCCACTGAGGCATTCGTAATAGAATGTAGGCACTCCCTTTACGGTAAAATAAAATAATTAATTAATTGGATAAAAAGTCTGGCCAGGAACGATTTCTTATTGATTATTCAACAATTTTAATTGCCAAAAGCTAAATGCTTAGCCAGTTTATTTTTTCAGTTTTTGTTAGCTTCTTGTTTGCAAAAAGCAGTGATGCAGCGATGTTATATAATTTTAACTGAACGTTTGGTATGAAATACAGTGCCACCCAATAAGTTCTGACCTCTTCGCCCGGAAATTAGTCACAGCATCGGGTAACAATATCCGTTTCTGGTTCACAAGTTGTTCGGACGTGCGGAGCCGTTAGAATCCAACACCTTTCGTTCTGCGAAGTGGCTATCATGCAAAAACTGACATTATCAAGCTTAAAAGTGTGAAAAGTCAGTCTCAAAAAGAAGCAAATGCTGTATTCTGTTCTGTTAATGAATATCTTTGCATTCTGCTTCATTCGTCTTCTGTCTCATGATTAGTTGAATCCTGTTGTTGTTTTCGCCTTGATCCTTCGCTATTAATTGTTGCCAATTAGCTTGTGCTTAGGCTCTTCAATACCGCCGGAGATGATTGTAGTCTCTTGCGGCCTTTAACTTTATCGTTTTCGGGCAGTTCAATTTTAGGAAGAGCGAAACTTCTCCCGCGTTGTTTGATCAGCGATCCCTGAAGTTCCCTGTCGTAACTGATGGAGTGTCGGACAGGAGGCAAAGGCCAAACAACAAGGCCCTCTTCTGTAGACTGTAATCGCGGTAAACGCCTTAATTCAAGAAAACTCATTGGTGATCTGCAACTGAAATCAGATTGCCTTCGCTGATATAGCCTGTCCTCTCGTCTTGAAGAACCCACCAGAAAGTCTCCTCTGTCACTAACATGCGTTTGAACGGCGCTCGATACTTTAAGTCGTTTATGACTTGTTTTTGCAGGTTCGATAGCCTGAAGTTCGCTTCTTAATGAAACAAGATTACGCTGAATATTTCGCATTTCTCGTTCTTCCTCTTTCGCCAGTTGACCGAGCTGTCTGCCAAGTCTTTCATTTTCTCGCTCATTTTTTAGTTTAGCTTCGACAATATTTTTGATAAGTTTACGACGGAGAGCCCTTGCTTTTTCACCTTCTTCGTCCTCCGCGGTTATCATAGCTCAACAACTTGGTTCGCAACTTGTATTTTACAGTTTCTTTAAAGGTCAGCGAACGTATTTTCCTAATAATAAAGAATTTTCCGTACCTTTCTGGATTTAAAACAAACCTTCTGCGAATTTGAATAGGGGAAAGAGAAGGGAAAATATAAACTACTAGTATCAATAATTAATTTGTTACTATGTTTGAAACTTTTGTTTAACGAATCTATCTTCTAGAACAAAGGATGCTCTTGGTTTGATATTGATGCAACATTTCATGAAATAGTTTAATTACGCAGATTCGTTCATTGACTCTCGCCCTTCCTCATTAAAAGAACTTAAAGATCCCTTGGACAGTTCCTTGAAAGTTTTAAACAAGAGATAAATTTCACGCGCTCAAAGGATTATAGACGACAGGTGTTTAACAGATCTCTGAATACACATCAACACAATCAGTGAAATTTCGTTTACCTAACAGTTGTTTTCCTTGGAGGGATTGTTATCAGCATGTCTATCATTTTATGCGCAAAGAGAAGCGTACTTTTGGAAGCTTATTAAAGCGGATATCAGTCGAGGCAAATATATTTATCTGCGTGGGTTTAACTGATCGTAGATGCGTCAAAAACAAGATAAATAATTTGGTCGTCTCAGTCGCGAAAATGAAACGTGAACGTAAAATTGAAGGCGGCTCTTTCCCCTAAACAATTCCAATCAAGTTCTGCCATTTTTGTATTTTTTTTCCCGCTAGCTTTAGATTAACTTAATAATTGAAAGATTCGCCTATTATTTTTCTGCTTTTCGGAGTTAAATTTCATTCGGCGGGAACTTTATCGTTTTATTTTAGATGGGCATTTCGCATTTCATATGTGCCGAATTTTATTTGAGAATTAAATGTATGTGAAATACGGCAAGTGAATCAATGAAATTGGACAGCTCAGAATGAAATGCGACTTTCGCTGAATCTGTTACTGAAACAGTGCCAAGGAAAAGTGGGACATAGATTCAAACGGCCAAATGTAATGCATTAATCATAGTAATTGCTATAATTCATTTCCAACCCAAGCCATGGGTAGGAGAGTCTGAACAAAACTCGAAAAAATGTCGGGAGAAGGATGAATGGTACTGTTCTTGCTTCTTGTAAACAAATTGTACTTATTTGACGCGCCATATATTTTTCTTCGTACGAGATGCTTATTTCTCGATGTTAAGTATCAGGGAAGAGATTTTCTTTTGAGGTGGATAGAGGCAAAATACTTTCAATGATGTTTGTATTTTACCCTAACCTTTTTGACTACCTCACGCTTATTTCGGTAAACAAGTGACGCCGTTTTTCCCCGTTCTTGTGGCCCGTTGCAAGCGGTAAAAGGGAGGTGGTTATACGCTGGCGGCTATGGTTGATTAACCCTTTAAGCCCTAATGGTGATCAGCATCAAATTTCTCCTTCTAATATCAATGCTTTGTAAAACAGAGTGGTCATGAGAATTACCGACATGTTCGCACAAGATGAATTTTCTTGATATTTTATCAACTTTTCTCCACAATTCTGTAGGAAATGAATAGGGGCAACAAGTGAGAATTCAAATTTTGATCTTACGGCTTAGAAAGTGGTAAGGCCTACTTAGTAGAGGAGACTGGTCAGTACGCCGTCAAATATCAACGATGAAGACAACGGTGCTGTAGTTTATTTTGGGAGCTTCCACACTCTCATTGTTTTGTTTTTATGCCCAGAGGTTGTTGCTGAATAAATTAATGTGACGTTTTCATTGGTCAGATATTGAAAGGATGCTATTGTACTTTAGTATATACTCACTCAGTGATCTTGGTGATTTAAGCAATCTGATTGGCTCGCTATCTCGGACTATTCAACAATATTCACCTTCTAGCGAGTGGATAATGTGTGAGCTCGGTCTTTTTC